CGAGTGGGGTGAAGTCTGAACAAGAGAAGCTGTTAACTTCTGTTGTCGGTCACTACTCACTACGGCGGCCGTCAGGCTGTGCCGTGCCGTTAGGCAGCTGTGCCTTGTAACTGCTAAACGACTGACAGGCGTTACTGTTCCGCGAAGTGTCGTACACAGCTGGCGGAGTCGGTTTGGGTGCGCTGGATTTTTTTAAAAAAAATAATATTTTTTAATGATGAATTGCAATTGTAGCATTTGTTTAGGAAAAATTATAAATATAGTATCCAGTCGGTGACTGGAGGTCCGATAGGCACCTTATCGGCAATTGGAGGGCCGATAGGCACCTTATCTTCCTCGCGCGCGCTCTCTCTCTCTCCCCGCTATCTCCCTGTCACCAGCCACCATAAGATAATCTATCTCTAGAAACTATTATAGTAATTTTCTTTAAAAAAACACAGATACAAACCCTTCACTCATCCCATCATGCAACGAAGACAAAGAAAAATAAGAAATAACCAAAAAGAACATGAGATGGATAAAAAAAAGTGCCTCGTGTACTAACCAAAGTACACATATGCACCTGGTCTAATAGCAAGCGAAAAACACCTTGCCTAATTCCCCACACCCTGTGGCCAGCCCTGTGACAAGGATTATAAGCTCGTCCTCACATCACATATACAGAATTGTTATCATCAGAAAACGAGTGCCTGTTTTTTACTATTAAGAAACAGAAGAAATTCGCCCACTTGCACGCTCTCACTCTCCCTCTCTGCCATCTCCTAGGCGTGCACGCCATTACCTCCCGCACGAGCTCCGCCGGCCAAATTCGCCACCACCAAACCGCCTCCGCCCGATTCGCCGTGCACACAGCTCCGCCTTGACTCCCTCCTTCCTCCCCACCGGTTGGCGCCGTCGCTCATCTAGGGTTGAGGCCACTCAGGCCGGTTTTCGCCGCCGTACCACCATTGCCGCCCGAGCTCAAGCTCAGCGTGGCCAGGCCATCTCCGACCGTTTCTCTCCCTCCTAGTGCTTGGATCTGGGCGTGGCCTCGTCCCCAGCGCCGCCGGGCGGTGGCGCGGCCCCGTCCCGTCCCCGGCACCGGCGGACGCGGGCGCGGTTCTGTCCCGTCCCCAGTTGTGGCTGCGCAAGCGCAGCCCCGTCCTCGGCACCGGCGGACGCGAGCTGCGGCCCCGTCCCAGGCTCTGCGGGCTCGCGGGAGCACCGCCCCTCACCGGCCTCCTGTTCCCCGTGCTCATGGACAGAAGAAGACGCGTATAGAAAAAAAAACATGAGAAAAATATGTTGGGTGACTGACAAGTGGAGTCGGCTGAGACGTGGGACCTGCTAACAGCCGTTTTTCTAAAAAGCTACAGCCGCTCAACCAAACCAAACGGCTTTTGGCTTTGTCCTCAGCTCACATCTCACAGCTGCTTTTCCAATAGCTACAGCTTACAACAGCTTTTCTAAAAGCTACAACTCAACCAAACAGGCCCTATGTTTGCATGAACTTTGGGGAGTACGGACATGTAGTGTGTAATGACTTGGTTTAAATTTATTATGGTTTGTATGGAATTTAATTGTGGGATGGATGATCATTGTAATATACAACATCTTACTTAATTAGTTTTACTCTTAATATGTGCGTACAATATTCAATGCAAAGAAACTGTAAAAGAAAAGAAAAAAAAGAGACATTCGGTCTCGGTTGGTAATACGTGGCAGCGCCTGAGGCCCGGGTTGGAGCCGCCTTTACTTTTGGTTGGTATTACTTACCGGGACTGAAAGTCCCAAATCAATCCCGCTTAAAAGGACCGGGACTAAAACCGGGCCTTTAGTCCCAAATTGACAGTCCCGGTTGAGAAACCGAGATTAGAGGGGGTTTCTCAACCGAGACTGAAACCCACTCCTATACTAGTGTTACTCTTCTCTACTACTGGTTTTCTTTTGAACCTTGAGTCGTACTAGCACACAGATGCCCAAGCTAGTCTAGTACCCACATCACAGCGACAGCACTATAATCCGTGGGTTGGGTTTTTGTAACCTTGACCTGCACGTGGTTAGGCTTCAAATCTAGCCCCTCTAATCTACTAGCTAGTTTCGCGAGGATCGATCGATCAAGCTCCAAGGCCGGTGACGTGGCAAGTACTAGTCCCATGCACATGGTGTCATGCGACGTCTCTCTGTCCTGTCTATGCAGGCCAGCGAGTGGATAGCAGGTGAAACCGTGGTCCCCCTGGAACCAATCTCCTGCACTGCAGATATGGGCTCCAAAACCACGTCCGCGCCCGCCCGCCCGCCGCTTCTCTCCACGTCCGCCGATCGTTTGGGGTCCTTGATGCCGCCTATAAATTCTCGCCCTCCTCTTCTTCTGGCAACACATCCATCGTCCTCACATCCTCTTCGCTCACTCCAACTCTCAGTGCCCCTCACTCAGTAGCGGATCCAGTCAAAATTTCACTGATGTCATAAGTACTACGTCATGGCTTAAGTTCACGTATGAGCATCAATTTGCAATGAAAATCTCAGGAAATCATTGCTGTCATCTGACAGCAATGAACAGGGCTGGCTCCGCCCCTGCCCTCACTGCTGACAGAGCTGCTTCTTTTCACTAGCCAAGCCAAGTCTGCAACCGCAAAGATCCGAGATGTCGACGGTGAGCCGTGCATCCCTTGATCAGAAGCTTGCCCTCGCCAAGCGATGCTCGCGAGGTAACTGCACATACTGCATGCACTAACTGGCCTCAAACACTAAACTTGGCTTAAAACAAAGGGCTATGTAGTATGTACACTGACCTGACTCATGCTTTTGTATGGATGTTTGCAGAGGCGACCCTTGCCGGAGTTAAGGCGGCAGCTGTGGCAACTATCGCCTCGGCTATTCCCACCGTGAGTTTCCATACTTTCATGCCATTCCATCCTATAAATCTCAGCTTTTTTTTCTCCTTATGATGCTGGCTAGAGCACACGCGTAATCGCGAAACAGCCCTTATCTATATACATCTCTAACTTATGCTTCTGCTGCGGTTCTTCAGCTGGAGAGCGTGAGGATGCTGCCGTGGGCAAAGGCCAACATCAACCCCACCGGCCAGGCACTCATCATCTCAACGGTTGCTGGGATGGCCTACTTCATCGCCGCCGACAAGAAGATTCTCTCGCTGGCGAGGCGGCACTCGTTTGAGGAAGCTCCTGAGCATCTCAGGAACACCTCCTTCCAGGGCACCGGTCGCCCGCACCCGGCTTTCTTCAGGCCATGAGAATGGGATGAGACATATGCGTCGAGCTACCTCTTCAATTCGTCAGTAGTACAAGCATCAGATGCCGCTGATGTCTGAATAAACTGCTAGGCTGACGCTCTAGTAGCGCACTAAACATCGATGCACTAGTAAAAGTATTCTAGCGTTGTAATTACCTTGTACTATTGGTGCTCAATTCAGAAAATATAATGAATGCAAATTTAATTTCTGTTACCAATTAACCAACTTTATGTGCTATTTTATTGTAAAAAATCATCTCCATACCGACAGTTAGTGGCCAAATATGTTGCCTTGCAGGAAACATAGAGATTATATACTAAATACTATTACTAATTAGAGAGACTTTGATAAAACCTTACAGAATGATCATAAGAAAGCTCTACAAAATTATCATATAGAAATCAGAAACGTCCGACCATCAATCCGGTAACCCCTGACAATAATAGTTATAGGACGATCCTTATGACAGCCCAGTGGGCCATATCGGCTTCCCAGAGGCCGATGGGTCTCTGTAGCCGCGTCGCTAGCCCACAGTACGTGAAATGTCTACCTCTCTCTCTCTCGGCTCTCTCCCTGTCACCGGCCACCATAAGATAATCTATTTCTAGAAACTATTATAGTGATTTTCTTTTAAAAAAAACACAGGTACGGTACAAACCCTTCACTCAACCCATCATGCAACGAAGACAAAGAAAAATAATAAATAACCAAAAAGAACATGAGATAGATAAAAAAGTGCCTCGTGGACTAACCAAAGTACACATATGCACCTGGTCTAATAGCAAGCGAAAAACACCTTGCCTAATTCCCCACACCCTGTGGCCAGCCCTGTGACAAGGATTATAAGCTCATCCTCACATCACATATACACAATTGTTATCATCAGAAAACGAGTCCCCTTTTTTTACTATTAAGAAACAGAAGAAAAATCATGTCTTTTTTACCTTTCCATTTGAGCCTGCTCACGTTTAATTTGTTTATACAGTTCAAAGTGTTACAGGCTTTACCTTCCTTTTTCCAATCAAAACCACGTACGTCCCAATGGTTAGGTTTCGTTTCGATCGGCAACCGACACAGAAGGCAGCAGCATCTCGTGAGGCGATGCAAACAAACAGCATGCAAGCAGAGCAGAGAGCACACCAGCGAGTGATACTGATAGGAAAGTGTGCAGCGGACGTGGCCGAGAGGACGTGAACCGCGCGCGGGCGGCTACCACCGTTTCTGCTCACGCCCCGCGCGCGCGCCCAGCGCCTTCTCAGACCGTGATCCGCGGCCATCCGGACGTGCGTTTCGTCTGGGCCCCAAAACCACGTCCGCCGCGGTGACGAAGCGCCCACCGGCTGCCGTGCCCGCCGATAGTTTACCGGACCTGTGCCGCCTCCTATAAATGGACAGCCCGCTCCAGCGTCTCCTGCATCCCATCTTCCTCGGCACTTCTATACTCATCAGTCATCACAACTGAGAAAGGAGAGAAGGGAGAGGGGCTGTGCTGCTGCCGTGTGGGTCCCGTGAGGTGGCGTGGCCCGCTCCCATTGGGTGGAACGACGTGGCCGGGCTCGGCTTAGGCCGAGTGCGGCGTGTGTCCGCTCCTCCCCGTCCCCATTCGGTGGTCAACGAGCAAGAGAGAAGAGAGAGCAAGAAACAGAAGGAGAGGGAGCAGGGCGCTGGTAGAGGCAGGGCGGCCGGGCTCGTTCTCCTCCGCTCTGCTCTAGCTCTTCCGATCCTACAAGAACTGTAGTGAGATTAGTCTTGAAAGAAGAGATCCATGGCGATGGAGGAGGGTGCCCTGGCGAAGGTGAAGCTGGTAGCGGCGGTGGTAGTGCTGGAGATGCTCATAGCGGGCTTCCACGTCGTGTCGAGGGCGGCGCTCGACATGGGCGTCAGCAAGATGGCGTTCCTCGTCTACAGAAATGGCTCGGCCCTGCTTGTGATTGCTCCTGTTGCCTACTTCCTCGAGAAGTGAGTATATGTAAACTCTGGTGATCTCCTAGTGCTCTAGGGAGTTACCACTAGAGAAGAGTTCATTTCAAAAGTGCTACTGATAAAGCATGGGCACGTATATATAGCCGAACTCTTCGTGATTATCAGTTTTACTTTGTGATTTTTGGACTCCTATCTCCCAAATTTTATGAGCATGCTTGCTATTTCTTGTTAGAAGTACTTGGTATTTTTAGGTGTTTATTAATTAACACTCGAATCTAAGTTTTGCAAAATTTTGGGTACTATCTCAGTCCAGAAAAAACTTACCTCATTAATTATGTGTTGATTGACTTACAGGAAAGATAGGCCACCCCTCACGTTACGTTTGATGATTGACTTCTTCATGTTGGCTGCAGTTGGGTAAGGTGTACAATAATTGCAGTATTCATATTGATCATTTTAGGATACTTAGCTTTTGTACAAGTTAGTACAGTTATAACTATAATGTAATCCGTGCAGGGTTACATTCACACAGGGGCTATATATTCTTGGTTTGTACTACTTGTCACCAACTTATGTCTCCGTCATCCAAAACTCTGTCCCTGCAATCACATTTGTGATGGCTGCTGTTTTGAGGTAAATAGCAAATGTGAAGTTTTATTTGTTATGTAATTTGTATTTACAAATAATGAAAAATGCGTTATCTAAAGCAAACTTTGATGGCCATGAAATTAAAATGAGCAATTGTATATAAAATTTACATGGTGTTGGGCCAAGGTGGCATATAACAGTTTGATGAACTATATAAAAACAAAGACTTAGTAATGGTATGAAGATCCATATCTATGTTCTTATTGTCTAGAACCAAATCTACATGCCTGAGCTAGCTGGATCTGAAATCCCAAATCAGGGAAATTTGACCAGCTTAGCTATGTTTTTTCAGACGTTCTCTAATGTACCTTTCTATGCAACTAACTAATATTAGAATGATCATACTTGTTATGGTCGCTATTATTGGAGATGATGATAATTAGAGTCTACCAAATTAAAATCTAGATGTTTCTAATTATTGTGAGAATTCTTAGAACTTATCTTTTTCTATAGTGTCTCATGATATTAAGATTTGTTGTCTTCCTACCCAGAATTGAACAGGTAAATATTAAAAGCAGACATGGCTGGCAAAAATAGCAGGCACGGTGATTACCATAGCAGGGGCAACCATCATAACCCTCTACAAAGGGATGCCATTAACGACAACACATTCAGAGGGTACCCACAAACTGAAAGACGTTATAGTTATCCTGAGTCCAAGATTTACCTGGATCGCAGGATGTCTCATCATGTTTGTGAATTGTCTTTGTTTGTCTGGATGGATGGTTCTGCAGGTTTGTTACTACTATTTTGTGTTATAATTAACTTCTTTTAGTGTTTGCCTATGTATTGGCATATTAATTTGTATTTTATGCCGTTTACATTATCATTTCTACCAAACAATACTAATATCCAACGAATGAGACTGGATAACTGAAAACTTAGCACAAAGGAAAACTGTTAGCAATGTACTATATATAGCCATTTCCCCACTATAACATAGAGACGTAAAAATGTTGTTTCTAGTAATTTACATAAATGTATGTGTCGATTTTAAATTGAGGTCCACAGCACGATTCCTGGCTTTTGTTATATGGGATCATTGCTTGAACTTTTGTTGTTTTATTACAATTTTTTCCTCAAAAATCTGTTTCAAATTTGAATTCTCAACAACAAATTTCTAGCCTACATAATTTGTATTCAGAACTTTTGTAACTTATTAACCTTTAACAGGTCCCAGTTTTGAAGAAATACCCAGCTAAGTTGTCATCTTTCACTATCACTTTGGCATTGGGGTTTATCCAACTCGTCGTTGTAGCACCATTTTTTGAGAGCAACATTGAAAGGTGGAAGATCCACTCTGGAGGCGAGCTTCTCACCATCTTATATGCTGTAATTATCTTTTCTAATAAGTTGATTATGTTGTGCATTTCTAATTATATCTTATTCAAGATCTTGTTAAGATCTTATTATCTAAATCAAAGTCATATATTGTCGCTTCGTGCCAATACTTTTTAAAAAGCGAAGTCTATATTGGTATTTAGCTTGAGGGCTTTGTTGGTCAACAAATTTATAAAAGTAAACATGAACCGGAGAGGGTTTTATGAAGATTTTGTCATGCTAGCTTTGGTGGAAATATGTTTCTAAAATTGGACTTATGTTTATTGGACTAAGAACTTTAATATACTTGATTATTTATGTTGTTGATGATATCTCAATTGACAACATGGAATTTCAGAAAGGTAAACATGGAAAGAAGCTTAGATATAGGATATGTTTCTTGGGGATAATGAAGAACCTTATATATGTGAGTGAATGTACAATAATGTCTTGCTTGTACTAATGAATGTAGGGTGTTGTGGTACTCGGTATTGCCTGGTATATTATGATTTGGTGCATAAATAAGGGAGGGCCTCATTTCGTTTCTGTCTTCCAACCGTTGCAAACTGTCATGGTTGCCATCATGGCTTCCATTTTCCTTGGTGACAGACTCTACATTGGAGGGTAAGAAATACACACCATTAAAGTTGTGAGTTATGACAATAATATATGGCATGAAGTAACAACAACAAATTGGTGTTTACTCACCAAATCTTCTGTCAAAATTTATCTCTTTTCCCTAATCATTTACAGAGTTATAGGTGCGGTGGTCATAGTTGCGGGCCTCTATTGTGTATTGTGGGCAAAAAGCAAGGAGACCAAAAGCAACGGTGACCTGCTTTCTGAAAGAAGCTTGGCACAGAATCTCCTTCATGAAGAAAGTTACATTATGATCGAAGATCTATAAGAATTTTTCTACTACAAACTATGGTTGTATAGTAGGACGTGTATGTGTGCGTTTATAGAGGCAAATGTACTTGTACGCACGAGTGTTTCTTTCTATGCTGTGATTTGAAAAAATACAAAATAAAATTGGAATATTAGTTTTGTTCTTGCGAAGTTACTGTAATTTTAGTACAGTGGTTAGTGGATACTACACATCCCTGCAGATAACTGATCGCCCATCTCTGGAGCCTGCGGGAGATAAGCGGGGTCCATGAAAGGCATGCAGCTGCCCACAGAGACACGCAGTGACGCTGACGTCCATGGGAATGGGGGTGTTGGTGCCTGCTGCCCTGCACTGCACTATTCCTACTGCAGTGAGAAAACAGGGAGCGTCACCCTGGTTCCGTCCCAAAACTGAGGGCCCTGAGTCTCGGCAGATCCTCAGTACCTCCTCTATTTTCATAAAACTGTTATATTAGGGACAGCTATATTTTTTTTTGCTCCAGCAATTCCCCAATACCTCGTCCTTTTTTTTGTGGCCACCAATATTTTTCTCATCTCCCCTCAAAAAAAGGGAGATACAACTCCCTCAATACCATAGGGACCATCTCAACTACCACTTTTTAGCCATATTTTTTCTTACACTCCTAGAAAACCCACCTTCCATATAGTTATTAGGAGAGATATATTGAGGCACTGCTGCAGCAACTCTTTTAATATTGATAAAAGATAATATTAAGCTGCCCTAATATATATATTCACTTGTCATGACTCGATGACGCTCACGTTTATTCACTTGTTGGCTACGTGGAATCACACGAGGACGAGCCGACGAGGTGTCAGGTGATCAGGTCAGGCATGGGAGAGATGGAGCCCTCGTCACTTACCTGATCGCGCCCAACGGCACACATGGGTTTCATTTCGCCCCCGAAACCACGTCCGGCCCCCGCGGCCCGCCCGCCGATTCCATCCCCTCCTTCTCCGGCGCCGGTCCCTGCTACCGCTGTGTTGTGCATATAAATTCACGGCCTCCCCCTTCCTCTTCTTGCAACCCATCCTGCACAATCCAGTCTGCTTTCTGTTCCTAACTAGTATCTCGTTCCTTCCGAGCTTCAATTCACGAACAAAAAGATAAGCATGTCGACGACCGTGAGCCGTGCGTCCCTCGACCAGAAGCTTGCCCTCGCCAAGCGCTGCTCCCGAGGTATGTGTCACTGTACATTTTATTCACACTGCTGCTCTGTGCTCACACTCACATACTACAGAGTGATCTATTGCTGTAGTGTAGTGTACTGACGATCTCTCTCTCTCGCATGCTACTTGTTGATAGTGCAATTTGGCTGGAGAGTATGATTGGCCAAATTATATAGGTTATTGATAATTAGTCTCAATTAGTTGGCATGCTACAAATCAAGAATATGCACAACATGGAGGTCGGACGCCAGTTTATTTGATGCCTGCTGGAGTGTGCGTGTGAAGAAAAGAAAGCAATATAGAAACCGGAAAAGGAGATCATGCAAGGGCTTTTCACGGATTAATCCTTTGGCTAAAGGATGTAGTTTCTATTCGTGTCGTATGTCCCAGGTGCAACCATGCAGGGCCAAACGGATCAAGGAAACGAATCAGACAGGACTACAAGAGATATTATTATTTTATGGAAAATCTGTTGCTCACTCGAGTAATCTTTTGGCATCTGTCACTCGATTCTGGATGCCGTCCGATCCCTCTGTCTCTCATCTACGCCGTCTATGTTTCATTTGCTTTGCTCTGTGTCTGACATGTGGGTCCATCTTGTCGGCACCTACTGTTTTGATTTTTGGGAGTTGTGCCTTATTTTCTGGTTTGGAACGGAGTCCTCGCATCCGCCGCTTCATTTCCACCTACGTTTCGTCTTCCTCTTCTGTCAGTGGAGCTCGAAGGGGCGACGCGAGGCGATGCGAGGCGTCTTGGGGATTCGGCTCTAGGGTTCATGATTTCTTCATCGATTTCTCCTTTTAGTTCCATGGATCTGAGCTATTTTGAGTTGTATACATGTATTCTGAATCTCCTGTGTTGTCTTCCTCATCTGTCAGTGGATCTCGAAGAGGCGACAGGTGGCGACGTGAGGCGTATCGGGGATTCGACGCTAGGGTTCGTGATTTGTTCCTTCATTTCTCCTTTAGTTCCATGTATCTAAGCTATTTGAGTTGTATGCTTGTCTTCTGAGTCTCCTGTGTTGTTATATTTTCTTTGATTTGGTCGGATGTTGTTCTTCCTCTTTTCTATGGCTGTCTCTGATCTGTTTGTATTGAGGTTTGTTGCTGACCCGGAGCTTGGATCGTCCACGGTGCTAGGGTTCGTTCATTTATGTTCATAGTTTTATTTTATTTTTTTGTTGTGGATTTGGATTGTATCTGTTTATGTTTCATTCTGACCAAATTCATCTCTATATCTTTGTGGTTTTGTCGGTCGTTTTGGAGCTGCGATGTCCTGTTCTTCAGTGATTGTATCTGTCTAGAAATTGGATCGGCTTCTGGTATAAGGTATTAGTTTCTCTATTCTTTTCTTTGTATTTCCTTTCGTTGTGCAGCTATGTGTTGAGTTGTTTTGTGTGTTGTGCTTATCTGTTGAATGTGTTGTAATGGTTGATTGATCTATTTCATGTTGTTCGATGCTCTAGGTTCTGGTTTAATAGCAGTTTTAGTATGAGGTCAACTAGAATCTATGTTTACTTCAGTTTCTGTTTTGTAGAAGTTGAGTACATCCTATTTTCAGTTCAAGTTTAGTTTAATAGAATATGTTTTTAGTTGTAGTTCATATTTATTTTTGTTTAGTATAATCTATTTTTAGTTTTAGTTGAATTGAAGTTTAGGTTAAGTTTAGTAGATCTTATTTTCATTTTAAATCAGTTCTAGTTCAATTTTGTTTCAGACTTCATTGTTTAGCTGTTAGTTTAGTTAACTTTCAGAATTTCAGTTTATGAAATTTGTTTTGTTATATCATGTTTGATTTCATTTTCATTTTAATATACTTCTAGTTCAATTTGTATCAGGCTTCAGTGTTGTAGCTATTAGTTTAGTTAATATTCAAAGTTTCAGTTTATGAAATATGTTTTGTTATGTCAGGTTTGATTTCCTTTTTTCATTTATTGTCTTTAGCTTCTATGTTTACTTTAGGTCCATGTTTTTATAATTTATTTTCATTTTAAGTTTAGGTTTAGTTGATTACATCTTATTCAGAGTTTAGGTATGTTTTTTGTTTTATTTTGCCTTTGTGAGTCACTTGTGAAGCAATCATGTTTAAAATCATTACCGATCTCTATTTATAGCTCTCCCGTATGTATTAGCTTGTAGAATTTTTGCAATGACTATCCTTTTGTGTTAGTTTACTTCTTATTTTGCTCCTTTGTGATAGATGATTCTTTTTGTGTTTGTAGATGGATACTAGAGGTCGAAAAAAGCGTCAAGTTGCTGGTTTATGTTCTGAAGATGATTTTATTGATTTAGAAGATAGTCAGAGTGATGATGTGATGTGTTCTCAATATGTTAATAATGATTCTTTTGGTGATAAATCAAGTTCTGATGTTGAGATGTTATCTGAGGTAAGTTTTTTTTATTTGTTCAGTTGTATTTTATTGTTTTACATATTTTAGTTATAATGTTTGTTTTTGGTCATTTTTAGGATTCTTCATCTGATGATTCAGCTGTTCAGAGGTTCAATAAAACTTTGTATGAGCAGTGTTTGAAATATGTATGTTTCCTTGTACCACCTGTCCATCATGTTTGTTTGTTTCTCTATTCAGTTTCACTTGTTTTTTTTAATTCCAATAGTGAAACTTGTATGTGGCTAGTTGCTTGGTTTTGTAGGCTATGTATTATTCCTCATTTTTATTTCTGCAAGGTCTGTGTTGTGCTGGTGGCTGCATCTGATCTTGAGATCTGTATGACTATGATGCCAAGCTTCACTCCCTCCATTTTAGATCTCATTCTGCATTTCTGCTGACTTTTTTTATTGATTGTTGCCAATCTTGTGCCACTATAGTCCGGAATTAGAGTTTTCTGTTGTCAGTCTTGATCTGTCAATGTTGTGCCACTCCCTGTTGGTGGATGGTCATTATTTTGCTTGTTATTGATTAGTTATCTCAGGAAATCAAATATCTGACCAACTTTAGAATTTTAATCCTTTTGCTTTTGTCATTCTCTGTGCTTTTCTTATATTACTGTTTAATATGTTACACTTAATATGTCATTGATTAGTGAAGATGTTTTTGTTTCTTTTCTTTCCTTGTATTTTTTCAATGAAGCTATCAGTTTGTGGTAGTGCAATCTGTATTTTGTTTTATGCAATGAGAGTTGCTATCTCTTTTGAAGATTTGTTCAAATTGGCCTTTTAGATTCAACTAGCTATTATTGTTTTATATATTTTTTGTGTTTAAATTCCCTTCATATAATTCTTCATTTTTACTTTATATTTTTTGTCCTTATTTCAGCATGAAAGAATCAGGGCCTTAAAGCATAAATTGTCCATGGCTTTGCTAGCTTAGGTATTTTTTTCTTCTTTTCTATTTTTAGTACTATATATTTTATTTTTTCCTTTTCTTTGTTAATATAGTCCAAGAAGTAGAAATCTTCAAAGGCTTCGTCTGATGGGTTTACTAGGCAGTCTGTTAGTAAATTTGCTCTTGTCATTAGTTTAATGTCTGAAGCTAAGAAGGATGTTATCTGGAGATATGGATTTGGCTCTCTGCTGCTTTTTGACAAGTGTTTTGTCCCTAAGAAATTTTCTAAGTGGCTAGCGTCTCTTGTTGAGTCAAAGTTTGGAGATCTTATTGTTCATGGGAAGGTTATATCGTTGACTGCCAAATCTGTGAATCTTGTTCTTGGTATTCCTATTCGTGGTACTCCTTTTCCTTCCAATTATGCTGCTGGCAGAGCTATTGTTGTATCTAAGATTGACAAGACTTCTTTGCCTCAAGTTTCTTTCTTTGCTGATAAGTTGACAGCCGATGATCTTACTGATGAAGTAGTGCTGATCTGTTTTTTGGTTGTGGCTCTGCATTGTTTCCTTTGACCAAACTCTAATTTGGTTCCGAGCCCTCGCTACCTTGGTGTGTTTGAAGACCTTGAGCATATCAGTTCTTTTGACTGGTCAGGGTTTGTTTTGCGTTGGTTGCTTGATGGTGTTAAGAGTTTCAACAAAGGAAAGAAAGATGGTCAGAAACATTTTGGTGGATGCATGTTCTATCTTGCTGTAAGTTATCTCTAGTCTATGTGCATTGTTTTTATTGTTTTTGAATTCTCAGTTTTGTATCATTGTATTTGAATTCTTTTGTTTATTCTAATTTTTTACTTTTTCTATTTTATTTGCAAGGCTATGTACTTGGATCATGTTGATTTCTCTCAACACCATGTATCTGATACCTTTCCTCGAATTGGAGTTTGGAAGCAAAATATGATCAGAGATTTTTCTGATCTTGATATAAAATCTCCGTCTGGTTATGGTATGAGGCCTCTTCTTGATTTTGAGAAGACATGCTATCACAAGGTATTTTTTTGTCATATTTTTTTTTGTTTATATGTTTTTATGTTTTAATATTTTTTTCTTGTTTGATAGGCTTTGACTTCTCAGCAAGAATCAGTTTCTGAGGCTTTTGATGTTGCTGAGTTCTTGTCTAAGCTTGAAGCAGCTTGTGGTTGTGATATGCCTAACAGTTTGAAGGCTAGTTTGTTGAATGTCATTGAAGAACATTGCAAGGGTTGTCTTCCTTGTATCCCTGTTGATTTGGTCGCTCTTGGTGCTCTTCCTGATGATTTGAAGACCATGTTCTCCAAATTGATGAATCATGTATATTCATTTAAGCAAAAGTCACAGGAATTAGTTATTAAGGTTTTGAAGGAGTTTGCTGATTATGAAAGTTCTTCTGATCCACATATTGCTTCCCCTGAGATGGCTGCTGCATCAGGAAATGTAAATGGTTTTCATCAACCTCATGATTCTTAGGTATTACTTTAGTTTGTTTTTTATGCTTTTTTATTTATACATTGTTTTGTCATTTGTAATTTTCATTCATGTGAACTGTAGGTTAATGTTGAGAAAGTTAAAAGAGCTTCTTCTTTGGCTAAGGATCTCGGTGAGTTATCTTCTGTGCCCATCCATTGCCTATTGTTTTGTTTTAGTAATGATGTGTTTCAATTTGTTGTTTTATTTCATGTGTTCGTATTAGTT